TGGCCTGTGTCAGATGCACCTTAGTCCTCAAGGAGACATCCTTGCTCCTCAGTACTTGAAAGAGTGTCTTCACAGCCGACCTACCTAGTGCTACACATCATCTAATGTCCTGACTGCTGCTTCCATTGGCCTTGATTGTAGAACCAAGCAACATGAATTCTTTGACAACTTCAATCTTTTCTCCATTTATCATGATGCTGATTATTGGTCCAGTTGTGAGGATTTTTGTCTTCTTTACATCAAGATGTAATCCATTCTGCAGACTGTGTTCCTCAATCTTTATCAGTAAGTGCCTCAGGTCATCCTCACTTTCAGCAAGCAAAGTTGTATCATCAGCATATCTCAGGTTGCTAATGATTCTTCCTCCAATCCTGATGCCACGTTCTTCTTCATATAATCCACCTTCTCAGATTATTTGCTCAGCATATAGATTGAATAAGTATGGGGAAAGGATACAACTCTGATGCGCTCCCTTCCTGACTTTAAACTATGCAGTGTTCCCTTGTTCCATTCAAATGACAGCCTCCTGGTCAAGGTATAGGTTCCTCATGAGCACAACCAAGTGTTCGGGTATTCCCATTCTTCTCAATGTTATCCATAATTTGTCATGATCCACACAATCAAATGCCTTTGCATAGTCAAGAAAACACAAGTAAACATCTGTCTGGTACTCTTTGCCTTGAGCCAAGATCCATCTGACAACAGCTATGATATCCCTTGTTCCACACCCTCTTCTGAATCCATCTTGCACCTCTGGAAGTTCTCTATCAATATACTGCTGCAACCGTTTTTGAAATATTTTCAGTAAGATCTTACTTGTGTGCGATATTAATGATATTGTTCTATAATTTCCACATTCTGTGGAATCACCTTTCTTTGGAATGGTTACAAATATGGATCTTTTCCAGTCAGTTGGCCAGGTAGCTGTCTTCCAAATCTCTTGGCATAACCGAGTGAGTGCCTCCAGTGAGACATCTGTTTGTTGAAATATTTCAATGGGTATTCCATCAATTCCCTGAGTCTTGTTCTTTGCAAATTCCTTCATTGCAGCTTTGACTTCCTCTTCAGTACCATTGGTTCTAGATTATATGTCACCTCTTGAAATGGATGAAGATCAACCAGTTCTTTTTGGTACAGTGACTCTGTGTATTCTTTCCATCTTCTTTTGATGTTCCCTGCATCATTCAATATTTTGCCCTTAGAATCTTTCAATATTGCA